GAGTTGGAGAACCCTGGCTCCCCAGTTCACCCAGTCACCTGGGGAGGGGATGGTGGGAGGTGATGCCCTGGGGTGATCCTGGAGCAGGACCAGGTGAGCAAGGAACAGCTCTCCCAGAAGAGCCTTGCGAGGGCCAGCGGGCAGGATAGGAGAGGAGGAAGGACACCATGCTCTGCCTCCTATTGCACAGGGCCACTTTGAGATGCAACCCCGCACCCCCCGCTCCCTTGGCCCAGACTCGCCTGGCCCATTTCTCCCTCCTCTCTAAAGGGCAAGGGCAGCTGGGGAGATGCCAGGAGGGAGGGTTCATCTCAGCACCCGCTGCTGTAGCCCTGGAGTGGGCAACGAGGGCGGGGAGCCAGTCCCTGGGCCGTGGGGGGCTGTCTCTGGAGAAGCAGAGCTGCTCTTTGGAGCCACCCGTGTCCCGTAGAGCTCCTCTAGACCAAGTTGGCAGCAGGACACATGCCATCTCTCCCCATCACATCCCACTCCCCCCCTTTACATTGGTACTGGGGAGGTGTTTCTGGGTCCAGATGTCCTCTGTCCCCATTGCTGAGCTCACTGCCATCCCCCTCCAGCCTTTATATCCGTCTCCGGGGACTGTCCCCTCCACCTGGATGAGATCCGCCACTTTCTAAACCTGTGCCCGGAGCTCTCCCTCGGCTGGTTTGAGGAAGGGCGGCTCGTGGCGTTCATCATCGGCTCCCTCTGGGACCAGGAGAGGCTCAGCCAGGTAAGAGCCCGACCCCGTTCTTCCCAGCTTGGTGCTGGGAGAGGCACTGCCCGGGCCTGGGGACGAGGAGAAGCTCCCCGGGCCCCCGAGGCTGCTCGCCAAACCTTCCCCCAAGACGACCTGCTACAGGGCTGCTCTGGTGGAAATGAACTTTCTCATTAATTCATTTTACCGATGCTGTTACAAAATATGCCAAGCAATTCCCCTCAACATTCACTTTAAAATTAAAAAGCCTCCAAGGATGATGGGAGGAGGTGAAGGGGGATGGCACTGCAACCCTTCTCCCTTTTGGGGGAGGATGTGGACCCTGGAACACCAGACAATTGTCAAGTTGGGCCCCCCCCCCCGGTCACACTAACCCCGGCCCCCCCCTCGGCAGGCGGCACTGACCCTGCACAAGCCGCGGGGCACAGCAGTGCACATCCATGTGCTGGCCGTGCACCGCACCTTCCGGCAGCAGGGCAAGGGCTCCATCCTCATGTGGCGATACCTACAGTACCTGCGGTGCTTGCCCTTCGCCCGGCGGGCCCTCCTCATGTGCGAACATTTCCTCGTGCCCTTCTACCAGAAGTGTGGTTTCGAGGTGCTGGGTCCCTGCGAGGTGACGGTGGGGGAACTGGCCTTCGTCGAGATGCAGCATCCCGTGCGGGGACATGCCTTCATGCGCAGG